CAACTATAACATCACGTGATAACAGTAGAACATCGACACACCAGAAACTACAACATCACATGATAATGATAGAACACTGGCATACCAGAAACTACAACATCACATGATAACGATAGAACACCGACACACCGGCAACTATAACATCACATGATAACAGCAGAACACCAACATATCAGCAACTATAACATCACGTGATAACAGTAGAACACCGACACACCAGAAACTATAACATCATGTGATAACAGTAGAACACCGGCACACCAGCAACTATGACATCACGTGATAATGATAGAACACCGACACACCAGCGACTATAATATCACGTGATAACAGTAGAACATCGGCACAACAACAACTATAACATCACGTGATAACAGCAGGACACCGGCACACCAGCAACTATGACATCACGGGATAACAGCAGAACACCGGCACACCAGCAACTATGACATCACGTGATAATGATAGAACACCGACACACCAGCAACTATAATGTCATTTAGCTAAATTGTGATTTGGCCCGCCTGATAAACCTACAAAACTTATAATCTTAACTTTAATTCCAAGCATATCAAACTATCCTATAAGCATCATGTATTCAATTTCATCTACATGTACACATAGGCGTACACTCATCCATTCATACACACACACGCATTCAACTTTACACAGTCACACTAAGTTACAATCATAATATCATTATACACTCTGCGACTCTGTAATTACTGAACACCCTTCATTTATACCATTGGTGATATGCAGCAACCGCAACGATAACACGTGGCCGTGTTGCCAAACAAACACTTCCGCTTGTTAACCGTCTTTCGTTTTGTTTCTCAAGTGACGTCATAAATATTACGTCATTTCAAAAACACTCACTTCGCCATCTTGTAACTGAACGTTGTAACAGTAAAGCACCGGCACACCGGCCGCTATAACATCTTTGCTGGACAGATTAATATAAATGTTTACAGTTAACATGGCAGGATTCTGCCCCCCCCTGGGGTCCTGTGTAGTGACGACTGTGTGCGGGGAATGGGGGACTAAAGACAACCATGAACGTTGCCTCATATCGTATATACAAGTTGAAGTTTCCAAATTGGTAACATGTACATCTTACTGACAGCAAACATGATTCCCAGGGTAGCCTTTTAACAGATTAGTGTTTGTTTACTAGAGAAATTGTTGCCTTAATGTTATGCCATGAGTGTATAATTTATGTAGCGTATACAGGAGGGTCGTACATATGGATTCCAGGCAATCCGGCGGGGTAGCTATTGAAGAGAAGAATGGTAATCGTGCGGTCTAAAAAGCATATCTAAGCTTATGTCTCTGTGACGTCACCAGTCATCTATTTCATCTTGGATTATGAAAGACGGGCTTAACTTCTCAACCTCAGCGTAATATTTGACTTGCTATGAAAGAGGATTATGGGCTTTAAAGATGGCGGCCTTCACGTGCCAGTAAAGTCTATGGTCGTCAGTGTGGCTCCATGTGTGACAACAGTAGCGCGAAACAAATCAAGAAGTGAAAAGCAGAGTGTTATATTGGATGAACCATATGTTTTGAATGCCTTCTATATACTTTGGGGCCTGGGAAAATGGATTAGGAGCTTTAAGATAGGATTTGGTCAAAACGTGAATGTTTCATGATGTGTACGTCAAATAGTTGTATTTACCCAGTGTTTGGTAGGGCGTCGTGCTTTGCGCTCTACTTCCAGTCTATATTGGACATTACGTTGATAAGATTGTCATCAAGCTGTATACTTTCCCAGTCCGATAACACAGAACTCACGTCGTCACGCGTAGTTATGGAGAACACCGTATAGATAGACAGTAGTACTTGACAGAAAAAACTGTGGTAAAAAGGGAATACTGAAACAAGCTGACAGATAACATGTATTTATCGGCGTTGATGTATGCATGCACCATTTATCTAAAACAGGATTGTCAATACACGATACACTATGGGCTTATTACTTTCATATGCTCTCCTTGCCCTTCTGTCTTAGATGTACTTGTTAAAAACTCCGCGATGACCCTCGCCATGAGAAAGCGCGTATTCTGTCCTAGCACTTATACAGCAGCATGGATATAGTTTCTCCTTGATGTATGTCGTCCTTGTGAAGGCAGGCCGGCAACACTTGCCAACAGATCACTGCTTTACCAGTTTCGCCGACAGACACTTTTCAGACATTTTCACTTAGAACTAAGCAGCAATTAAAAACACGCATTGAGCGTAATCGACACACATTCAGCTGTTTAGTGGCAAGCATTCGAAGTGACACTACAGCAAATATAGGCCTTTTCCAAGTTAATTCCCAGCGTAAGAGGTAAACGGCTGAGGCCGGGGAGGCAGGGGAGGCACGTTGACAGGTTTGTTCTTGCCAAATGCTTTGTTGTCTTGCCGCCATGACTCTCGCCCATCTCGGATAGACCTACGGGTCAAGTGCACGAAGTTGACTTTGAAATTACCTTGGGTAAAAATATTTGATTGCTAACAATCTGAACTATTTCGGGATCTTGATTTTGAATTTGTGTTTGCACAATTGCCGTTCTCATTTGTATTTTGTATGTGCTGCTTCGTGTCTAGATTCTGTCTGGTTGTTAAGATAGGGGGGGGGGGGGGGGGGTCGAAGATAAAAAAGGTACAAACAAATATACATACAAGCAATGATTTTCTGGAATATGAATAGTAGGAAGAAACTATAATAACAAGCACAGACATGGCCGTGCAAGAAGTGCACGACTGTTTCCTTCGGGAGTAACACTGATTTGCGTAAAAACATTAACCACCGAATTCCTACCAATACATTTATTCATTCGTAAAGTGTTCAGTCAATCTGAAGAAAAAGAATTCTGAGCCATTTTACCTGAAGTGGGCGTGGGGACAACAATTAAAAAATATATGGCCACGGAATGTTTTCGAATATTTTTTTAAACAGATTTCTATCGTCTTTTCCCCTCTTTCAATTAGCTGAATATAGAAATATACATGGATGCGATCGACTTAATACTCATCCTGCAGAAATTCTGTTGACTTTATTTACCGTAAAACATGAATTGTTGAGAACATCTAAACCTGTCGAGAACCATGTAGCATTTGTGGTTATGGGTATACATTATTGTCTAAATGGTAACATTGTATGAAACATTCTTTTCTTGTCAAATTTACCCATATATATCATAATATGTCATACTATCCACAAACAAAATATTGCAACTGATTGATGAATAAGGCGTCCTTAGCAATAATTTAGAAAGAAAACTTATCTTATCTTGTTGCAAGCTTCGTTATGAAATATAGAGCAACTGTTTCATATACTGTAATGGTTACTCTTAAAAATTACTTATCCACAACCTTTAAATTACTTGAGTTGGTTCCTTTCTAGTTTATTGAGAATAAATGGCAAATGGCCGGACGATTTCAACTCTTGGAGAGTGTCTTCCACAACACATAGGAATGACGCTGCCGCGTGTTCTGAATATCAGATTGTTAAGATTTTAATTCAATTATATTCACAACCTGTAGCCTTTCAATGTCGATACTTGTATATTAAAATCAAGATCAACTCTAGCTAAGTTCGAAGCAAGTGTACTATTTATAAATATGCAGAATGAGCTGAGCAAATATAAATGCAGAGCGGCAAACTAGAAATTCATTTTTGGTCAGTATACAGGGCACCAGGAGGACGTTTACACGGCGAGCATGCTATTGTGTATAGTATTTCTAAATGTATACGGTTAGTATACTATTGTGCATAGTATTTCTAAAGGTATACGGTTAGTATACTATTGTGTATAGTAGTTCTAAAGGTATGCGGTTAGTATACTATTGTGTATAGTATTTCTAAAGGTATGCGGTAAGTATACTATTGTGTACAGTATTTCTAAAGGTATACGGTTAGTATACTATTGTGTATAGTAGTTCTAAAGGTATGCGGTTAGTATACTATTGTGTATAGTATTTCTAAAGGTATGCGGTAAGTATACTATTGTGTACAGTATTTCTAAAGGCATACGGTTAGTATACTATTGTGTACAGTATTTCTAAAGGTATACGGTTAGTATACTATTGTGTACAGTATTTCTAAAGGCATACGGTTAGTATACTATTGTGTATAGTATTTCTAAAGGTATGCGGTTAGAATACTATTGTGTATAGTATTTCTAAAGGTGGCTAATTAAGTATCGTGAAGTAGTCTTCTGTTGTTTATAGGTGCACTCGTATACAGTCTGTGCAGGGACATACTTTTAACGGAGGAACAACTATGAATATTATTCAAACATTTCAAGGACAATATTTATTGTAGTTATTGTAGGAATAAGTTATCTACACAAGTCACATAAATTGCGTCATCATGTTCAATTCAAATTTTAATCCGAGTTAATGTATGGGATGTTTTAGTAAATATACAGAGTGTTTTCGTCATTCCTTGAGTGTAGGATCAACAACAACAGTTCTTTTAATGCTCAGTTGTTTCACTGAAGACCATTAAAACCCATTTGAAATGAATGTGAGGGTACGCGACTTTTATATGCTTTGGTAGTTTCATTGAGCCATAGTTCTGAATTATATGCCATACTTATTTGTTGTGTCAACGAATAAAGCTGATGGAAATGTGGTAGGAGACTTCATTGTCACTAATGTTTACTCTGAGTAATCAGAGACATCCTCGCGTATGTTTCACATAGTCATCAGATAAAAGGTGGTATCGTGGTTACAACTAAATGTAAACTTTCAGTGCAAGAAAAAAACCAGGCTTGATTATTCATCAAAATTCTTTTTGGCATAAAGGGAAATATAGTTCATATGAATGGACCACTGAAAATCAGACACTTATGTAATACTATGTGTGTTTACATTGCTATATACTAACCGTTGGTTAACTACTCTCCCGTAACAGTGACGCATATGATTAAAAAATATTATATCATATAGTAATGATAACGATACAAACAAATACTGAAGATGTAAAAAAATGTACCCTTGCCACGTACCTTGTTTTCTGGAAGATATCCCAGTTTGAGGAACCACACGAATGTAGGTATCTCCCGCCGCTATAAACACATTACGCTTTTAGTAGTGACAGTTTATCAGGAGCTATATGTCTGGTCATTTGGCAGGAAGTTGCTACTCGTAATATAGTTACAAAATCCGCGTATTAATTGATAACTATATGAGCACATTTCCACTTGTTGAAGCACATCATGTGCCTCTAATGGCTATACCCGTAGTTCATGCTGATAACATGTTCATGTATTTCCTCAACACAGATGCAGATTGATGCACTGAGTGTCTGTACCCGTTTCAGTGAAAAGATGGCGACATATTCAAATACCAATTACCAGCTGTACTACTGTGTTTACCAGTCACGCTGTGCTCCTAAGACATTGTCTACTCGCTTCTGTACCAGACGCCATCTCTCCGACTGTTCAAATAGAAGGTACCAACAATGATTTCGAGGCAGTAGTTTGGACATTTCGCACTATGGGTTCAAAGACTTCTGTTTCAACATGAATAAATCTGGTGGGACTTTGCCTTAGCTATAGAAGATCGCAACTTTGATAACCGAGAGTTCAGTCGCACTTACGCGTGTTTGTTTCTACGCACACCCCTCACCCCTCACCCCTCACACCTCAAACCCAGAAGCAATTGCTGCTCTATGATGAACATACACTTACCACTCCTTATAGATGGCTGCTCTGTTTCCGGAAATACGTAAATATTATTACCTTCCTGACAGTGCCTTGCCTACAGCTCCTCTATCAGAGAATAGTTCCGAAAAGATATAATAATGTACACTTAAGTCTCCTACACTCTACCACTATTGCTGCTTCCCAAATTCAAGCAACATATAAAGACTATTAGCTGAATGTACGTGCCATGTGTTCAACAAAGAGTCGAGTGAGCATGCTTTTCGCAATGTTTCCTGTGTGTAAATTTCCCCATCCTCTCTATATCTCGATTCGACGTGACGGAAGGCCTGTCACTGCCGTGCAGACCACACTGGTGAATATCTCTATTCACGTCTATTCTCTGCCCCTTCCGATTTCGTGAACAAGAACAATGCCAACTGCATTCTCGGGTTTCCCCGAGTCACATACTGGCTTAAACCATTCACCAACACTCGATAATTGGAATGTTCTTGCTGATATTCATTTCCTATCAATAACAGCGATGCTGATTTAGATTTGCATCTAAATAACGCCGATCAATGCACCACTGTCTAGTATATAAATGATAACTGATTTGGGCCATATTTTGCAGATGGTGTACAATAATATCTGTACATCGTCAAGTGGTATGAATAAAAGTATTGGTATTGTGACATCGTGACTCATGTGCTTCAAATCAAAATAATTAATTGAAAATGTGGATGAAAAAGACATTTGTTTAGTCTACTACCCGGTTCATTACTCCAGTGTGGTTAGCTACGATACAACGCAAAAGATTTTTATCGCGAAAATTGCGAATAATTGCGATAAGTTGCGAAAAATTCGCAAATAATCACTGCGAAAACTAATGTATTGTTTTTGTTTGTTTGTTTGTTGTTGTTTTTTGTTGTTGTATGTTTGTTTTGTTTTGTTTTGGTTTTGGTTTTGGTTTTTGTTTTTGTTGGTTTGTTTGTTTTGTTGTTTGTTTTGTTTTGTTTTTTTGTTTGTTTTTTTTTTGGGGGGGGGGCATCACGCCGTCATTGCTTGACGGGCCATGGCTATATTCTCTAATAAAATCACGCAAACATAAATGATGCTACAGCGTGAATGGATTTCAGGTGACTTTTGATAAAATAAAGTCTAGTTTGTGGAATATTCTTGCCATAATAATGTTGCCGACATGTGCTCTTTTCGATGTTAACATTTCGCTGGTATATTTCCTACGCGGAGCATATCTATTCTACTCACCGTCTCACAAACAACACGCTGCATGACAAACGGTTTGAACAAAGTAATAAGTTTAGATTGTCCAGTTCAGTGTGTCAAAAACAAAACAATGTATAATATGTAAATAAAACCTATAACTGTATAATGATTGAAATTGATGAGTGGGTTGTAATAATGAGTGATAGTTCATGGTAATGAACCAGGTTGGTTGGCATTTATGGACAGTATATACAAGAACATTACATATAGGTATTACACTCCGGTGATAAATCCAAACTTAAGATTTTTCGTGAGAAAGGCCATTGAAGAAATTTTGTTTCTTCTGTCATCACCTCCCTCATCCTAAGCATTTGATTTGTGCCCATGTTGCTTTGTGTCGTGCAAGTTGTACAGTAATCATATGTAACCGCGTTTCACAGACATTCGATAACAAATTCCTTCTACACTGAGTTTTGAGCTGTTTTCTGATATAGATCCTTACATTGAACGTTTTATACGACGTACAATCGCTATGTTTAGGTGCAGGGATCCCCTGACCCCCTGTGCAATATGGGTGATATGATACTCCGCCCATAAATGAATGTTTTAGTGAATATTGTGCAATGTTATATGTGTAATGGGAATATTGTGCAATGTTATACATGTAATGGTAACTTTGTCATGCGATTTTTGTCAAGCTTCAAATGTAAATTATTCCTTTTCATTACGTAATATTGTGTTCAACTGTATATATGGAGAAGGTGGCAATACGTGTTGCCCTTGTGACCAATCCAATGTATTATTTTGGACAAGAAAATATTTTTAAAAATCCCACATGAAACCTGAAAAAACTCATCTTGTTGATTTCACCCGCAATTAACCGTGTCCGATTTGTCGCAGGTATCATGTGGGGTCAGTATCGAAGGAGTTATGCCGTTAACTGGCCACATTCTACAAGACCAGTGCGTTCAAATAGCCTAGTCGTTTACGTAACTCTCATCGACAACGGCCTCAAACGTCTACTACAGCTACAAACGCTCTGTGTCAAAGTTGCCGTCTAATAACGAGGACGAAACATTAGTGTTTTATGTTGCGCAAACATGCGGTTTGAAATCACACTGACATGAGCATTTAGGATAAGCAGTGAAAAGTGCCTCAGTAAAGGAATATAAGGTAATTAGATTTTAATGAGTGTCTTGTGCATAGGCGGTTTCCAAGGATAGGATATTGCTTAGACAATACGAATGTGTATGGCTGAGCTGTGCACTTGACGAGTAGCAATCGTTTTTCATCTGATGCGTATGCTACCACACACACAACAAATTCCAATACTTGTATACCACCCGTAAGAAGCATTATGAAGCTGAGGACTGACGCACCAAGTATTACACGCATTCACACAGAGAAGCAATATTATTTCCTCTGAAAAAAGTACGCATTGATTAAAATTTGGTAACTAAGAGTTGTTTGGTGTATCCCATAGATATGATTGGCAGTTTACTGACAGCGTTGATTAACAGGGATTATGAAGTAACTTTCTCTTACTCTTATTCACCTGCTAAATAGAATTTCAGCGCATTTCAAAAACGAATTTCAATGTCTTGTAGTAGAACTGTGACCCAAACATTATATAAGGCTGTTATAACTGGTAAATATATGCAGACGCATACATATTGTAACTTTTCATCAACTGAAAAACATTAATCAATGGCATCACAAATACCCGGCAGTAGCTTAATGGATACCCATAATGTTAACCGACATGTAAATACTTCCATCACTTACCCCAGAACGTAGAACTGATAAAATCCAGGCATTTTCATAGACGGAGAAGTGTTTTATAACATTTCCTGTATATCCCTGCTTTGACAAAGGCCCTATCTATTATCGGCGCAACTCTATGTATCTACAGTCTCCAGTGGCAGGAAAACCGATATCTCCTATCAGTCAACACTAATTTCACAAGCACACCTTCAATTACTATAATTACCGACGACAGTTTGAATTATAGGAATTATGAAAAACTATTTTTTAAATAATATTTTGCAAATCTGTTGGAAGAAAATCGAAAAACGTATCAGCTATATTGACTTTTACACCTTCACTTCTTTCTATATTAATATCAGCTCATTCCATTTCTATTGTTCAAATAACGAGGTTACGGAATAATGAGTTACGCTCTAGAAGGTCGTATAATCTTGAAATTCTGGAAAACATCGTAATTTTCCGAGATCTAAGCTTTCTCATTTTCGCGACATCATCAAAAACTAGCTGACGTCAAGCACAGATAGCCCTGAAAAGAAGCTTCATGAATCATTATCAACTACACATTGTTTCAGCCACTTTACTGTGATACTCTGTGACATATTATTTCATTCCTTCAGTGTTAATGTAAATACCATGACTAAATCTTGGTGGACTGCTACATATGCTATCACAATAATCAGCCTTCGGAGACTTTTGGCTTCTGCCAGGGTGTTTCTGAGAAGGCACTTTCCACTGTAAATTTTCAGTTTGAATGTGTTATGTTTTACTGGTACGAAATCTGAATTGTGTAACATCATATCAATGTTTCAGATTCATGGATTTTGTGGGTCTCAAAATTTTTCGGATTTTTTAAATTGTATTTTTAAACTGACATTATATCTTATTTTAACAGAATGAAAAAAATATTCATAAATAAGTGTCGTCCTCAATGTCAGGCGATTCGGAGTAGAAGTACATGCTTAAGGACGGACGGTGACGGACTACTCGCTATGACATCAGATCAATAGGGCCTTCACAGCTAAAATCCTTGAACTGGGAACTGGGAGACAGAGAGAAGGTATATGACGGATGAATTGGGAGACAGAGCGAAGGTATATGGCGGAGGAACTAAGAGACAGAGAAGGTACATGGCGGATGAACTGAGAGACAGAGAAGGTACATGGCGGAGGAACTGGGAGACAGAGAAGGTATATGACGGATGAATTGGGAGACAGAGCGAAGGTACATGGCGGAGGAACTGAGAGACAGAGAAGGTACATGGCGGATGAATTGGGAGACAGAGAGAAGGTATATGGCGGATGAATTGGGAGACAGAGAGAAGGTATATGGCGGAGGAACTAAGAGACAGAGCGAAGGTACATGGCGGAGGAACTGAGAGACAGAGAAGGTACATGGCGGATGAATTGGGAGACAGAGAAGGTACATGGCGGAGGAACTGGGAGACAGAGAAGGTATATGACGGATGAATTGGGAGACAGAGCGAAGGTACATGGCGGAGGAACTGGGAGACAGAGAAGGTACATGGCGGATGAATTGGGAGACAGAGAAGGTACATGGCGGATGAACTGAGAGACAGAGAAGGTACATGGCGGAGGAACTGGGAGACAGAGAAGGTATATGACGGATGAATTGGGAGACAGAGCGAAGGTACATGGCGGAGGAACTGAGAGACAGAGAAGGTACATGGCGGATGAATTGGGAGACAGAGAGAAGGTATATGGCGGAGGAACTGGGAGACAGAGAAGGTATATGACGGATGAATTGGGAGACAGAGCGAAGGTACATGGCGGAGGAACTGAGAGACAGAGAAGGTACATGACGGATGAATTGGGAGACAGAGCGAAGGTACATGGAGGAGGAACTGAGAGACAGAGAAGGTACATGGCGGATGAATTGGGAGACAGAGAGAAGGTACATGGCGGATGAATTGGGAGACAGAGAGAAGGTATATGGCGGAGGAATTGGGAGACAGAGCGAAGGTATATGGCGGAGGAACTGAGAGACAGAGAGAAGGTATATGACGGATGAATTGGGAGACAGAGCGAAGGTATATGGCGGAGGAACTGAGAGACAGAGAAGGTACATGGCGGATGAATTGGGAGATAGAGAGAAGATATATGGCGGATGAACTGGGAGACAGAGAGAAGGTATATGGCGGATGAATTGAGTGACAGAGACAAGGTATA